GGGGTCTGGGGTGGGGGGAGGCAGCTCATGGGGATGGGGAAAAGCACACAGTGAGGCTGTAGCACAGGGGAGGTAGTGGGGGAGGGCTTGGGCAGGGGCCCAGACTTTCATTTTCTTCATCATTCCCCCCAAAATTTGGCATTATCCAGTTCTCTAGCTTTTGCCCATCCTGTGTGTTTAAGGTTGCAGCACACTGTTACAGTGTTCAGTGTGTATTTTCTGCTTGCACCTGCGGGATAGCTGTGACGTGTTCCCTTCTGTCGAGTGTTCACATACATTGATGTTTTTAAAACTGGGCTTCTCATGTCTTCCCTTGTGATTTGGGAGAGATTTTATCTGTTTTCTTTTTCTCTCTTTTTTTAAATCCTCACGTGAGGATATTTTTCCATTGATTTTTAGAAAGAGTGGAAAGGAGGGGAAGAGACAGAAAGAGAGAGAGAGAGATTGGTTGCCTCCTGCACACACCCGGACCAGGGATTCAGCCAGCAAACGAGGTAGGTACCCTTGACCAGAATCGAACCTGGGACCCTTCAGTCTACAGGCCAATGCTCTATCCACTGAGCTAAACCGGCTAGGGCTCTTTTTTCTTTTTAACATTGCAAATGTCTACTCCAAATCTATCACTTGTTAATTTTGACCATAAAATCCTTTATCCAACCAAAATCCTTAATTTTCACATAGTCAAATTTACCATTTTTAATTTTATGCTTTATAGGTCTTTATGAAAGAAAATTTTTCCTGCCCTAAGTTTACAAAAACATTGTATGACATTAAATGTCTCATACCCTTTAAGAATACACACACACACACACACACACACACGCGAACATACCTATGCATATGATGTGAGGAAGGATCTAATTTTACCTCTTTAAAGTGAGCCATTTCCTCCCTACCATCATCTATTAAACAGAGTATACTTTCTGTAATGGTTTGTGACAAATTCCTATACATACCTAGATCTGGTCTGTGCCTGCCATTTCTGCTCTGCACCAGTACTTTACCACTTTTTATCATGATTTCTTTATAATATTCAAGACTGGCGGAGCAAGTCTTTCTCCCCCCCATTATTTATTCAATTGTTTATTCAAATTTTTTCAGTTATTTATTCATAAATTGTATTCTTCCATATGAATTTTAAAATACATTTGTCAAGCTTCTTTTAAAATCCTGCTCTATTTTTAATTGGCATTGTATGGAATCTATAAGTTAATTTGGAAAGAACTGTCATCCTTACAATTTCTCCATTTATTCAAGTTCTCTTTAATAGCATTTAAATTTTTTTCATAAAAGTCTTGTGTATTATTTAATTTCTGGAAATTTTATCGTTTTCGCCATGACTGTGAACTGGATCTTGTTTTCATTATATTTTCTTACTAGTTATTTGTACAGACACATTGTATTGATTTTTGTACGTGGATATTGTTTATCAAGTTTGCTGAGCTCCTTCATTCTTATAGCTTGTCTTTCGATTTCATTGAGTTTGAATGTAGATGATCAGATCATCTATAAATAATAATTTGGGCCCTGGCTGGGTAGGGCAGTTGGTTAGTGTGTTGTCCTGATATGCCAAGGTTGTGGGTTCGATCCCCAGTCAGGGCACATACAAAAGTCAACCAATGCATAAGTGGAACAACAAATTGGTGTTTCTCTCTCCCTCCCTTCCTCCCTCTCTAAAAAATCACTACATAAATAAATAAGAACCTTACCTTTTTTAAAAAAAATCATTTTATCTCATCCCTTCTTATTCTTATTTTTCTTATCACGTTGGTCACGTTTTCCTGTGCAATGTTGACAGTTGCTGTGGCAGCTGGCATTTCTGTCTTCTTCCTGATTCCAAAGGAGCTGCTTTGTTTGACGTGTGCTGTGAATATCTGGTTTACAGTGCTTATTATTTTAAGGAAGCTCCCCTCTATTCCTAGTTTCGAAGATGATTTTAATCATAAGTATGTGTAGAACTTAATTAACTGCGTGGATCTATCAAAAAGGTTGTGCTGAGGTTATAAAGGCACACTACAGACAGTTCATGAGAGTATTTGGGGTCCATGAGAAGGGGCAATAAGTGGGCGAAATGTGGTAGATACAGAGAGTGGAATACTAGGGGAACAGTCACAAGGGATGACTTAGAGATACATTCAGCAACAAGAATAGATCTTCAACACATTGTGTTGGATGAAGAAAAAGCAAGGAAGGATTGAGATCTATACTATGGCAAAATATCACGTAAATTTTTAAAGCTTAGGAACACGTGTAGCTGGGTATGTACTAATTTTTCTCAAGTAAACATACATTCAAGGATATCCTACAGACAATTGAGTACCAATAGAAGGAAGAAAAATAAGAGTGGGAATGAGAGAAGGGAAAGGGAAGGCAAAATATAATAGAGTATAGATAGAACATGCACAGACCCATGAGACTAGTGTACCGTGAACTGAAGAATGGGGTTCATTTAACTTCCTGGTTTTAGACCCTAAAATGAAATAAATATAATAGCTAATGTTACTGAATACCTAGGGTATGCCTGGCTCTGGGGCAAACATTAATGTCCCCATTTTACAGTTGAGGAAATTGAAACTTAAGAAATTTAAGTGACCAACCTAAGGCGTTACAGCTTTGTGTGGCAGAGCTGGGATTCCAACTCAGGTCTGACCACCTGTAAAGCCCACACCATAGCCCTTGTCTCCCTCCAAGGTGATATGCCTTACTTCAGGTACTGGCAAATCCTGTGTTCTATACCTTGCTCTGTCTTCTGTTTAGTCCCCATCAGAAATCCTTTTATCAGGTTCTCCTGGGAAACCATTGACCCTGAGGGCTGACAAATGCAAAAAGTAATGATGGCCTTGGGCAGAGGTGGCCAGTCTTGGTCTTGGCTGAGTGAAGCTACTCAAATGAATGACACTTTATTTTAAAATGAATGAATCAGAGAGTTGGGGAGCGATCATAAACTGCTATTTAAAAAGGAGGGGCAGCTGGAAAATAATCTAGACAAGAAAGCCACTTTTGAAAATCCGTGCTTTGTTTCTGAGTAGATGAATAACCTTTATCCTCAAGTTCTCTGAATTTACCACCTCCTGGGAAATTTGACTTGTGTTGATGAGACAGCTCTACAGAGTGACAGAATGGTTGAGAAAGTATATAAGTGACTTTAAACAGTGAAAACTTTTCAATTTTTCCAAATGTGCTCATTATAAAATCAGAAGTATCAATCATTTTCAAGCCTTATCTGCATTTTCCAATTCTCTGTTGTGATTAATGACATACCAATCAGTCACATTGTGCCCTCCACGCATGATATTTTTGTTGTTGTGGGTTTTCTTACACAAATTTTCCTCTGTAACGTGTCTTCCTAAAAAATAGTTATTTTTCTTCTTATTATTCTTTTTAAATTTAAATTCTTTATTGTTGAAAGTGTTACATATGTCTCCTTTTCCACACATGATTTTTAAAGGCACTTATATATTCCCTGTAATAGGGAGGCAGTACAGCATGGTTGCAAGTATACATAAAAATAAATTTAATACAATTTTTTCCATATTTTGTATTTTTGAACTAGTGTCAAATCACTTCATGCTGTTGCTAATCCTAGATCATGCTTGTCTTGTGACACCCTTCACATTTTCATATATATATATATTATTGATTTCAGAGAGGAAGGGAGAGGGAGAGAGAGGTAGAAACATCAATGATGAGAGAGAATCATTGATCGGCTGCCTATTGCACGCCCCATCAAGCCTACAACCCAGGCATATGACCTGACTGGGAATCAAACCAGGATCTCCTGGTACATAGGTGGACTCTCAACCACTGAACCATGCTCACTGACGGCCCTTCACATTTCCCTTGGCCTGCCTTTTATCTCCAGCCATTGCTTTTATGATCAGCTGTACACAGTGTAACCTCAGCTGCACGGGACATCTCTCACTGCTGCCCCCACATGGGAGCAACCCTGGGCCAATGTAGATGGGAAATGGTGGATAAATATTCCCTCTAACATCCACTGGGCAGAAGATTTTGTGGTGCATTTAGTAGCTTCAGGGGAGCAAGTATCAGATGCCACAGTGGTGATCAGCTTGATAATGCATCATTGGGTTAGCTTCATTCTTCCCTGTTACCCTCTACCCAGTCCCTCTCTACTGTTCCTTGCAAACACTTCCCAAAATAATCGATCTGCATCCAAACTCTTATCTCATGCTCTATTGTGGAGGGAACCTAGGCTAGCATAGTTCAAAAAGAGAATACTATATTCACTCATTGAAGACATATTTCATGCCTACTGTGGTCCCAAGCATTGGTGTCTGAATTTTATCCATGAGGAAAAATACAATTTAAAAATTTAAACTCAATCTGCAAGTCAGCTCCAAATCAATTTTTCAGTTATTCAGCCCAGTGGCTTTAGCTTAAATTGTTTTAATGTTTTTTTATTAGGAAACCCCTGTAAATAATGACGGTCTACATGTTCAGACAAGTTCAGATCAGTTCGCTCAGTGTCCATGGTTCCTGCTTGTACAGAATTAATTCCCTAGGCATAGGTGTGGATGGTCAAAGAGCTGTGAAGTTAGTGCATCAATGGTGTTGTTTTCTTTGGACCTTATTTCAACAATACTTTCTAAAATAATTTTGAACATCTTATTTAAAAATATATCCAGTTATCATTTTGATATATTTGCTTTAATATTTTCTCTTTATATGTATATATTTTTTCTGACCCGGTTACAAAGAAGTTGCAGACTTCAACTTTGACCTCCTAATATGTTAGTATGCATTTGTTAAGAACAAAAATATCTTCTTGTTCTCTTATAAAACCTCAATACAATCACAAAATTTAACATGTAGATTAGACAACACTATTGTCTAATCTGCATTCCATTGT